TCCCACCACTCCCTTGGGGTTCTCTCCCAGGAAAATAGCTCATTTCTGCATCAGTCCTTCAAGCAGACTGCGCTTTCTCCACTCTCCGATCCCTGCCCCACTCTAGGGCTGTGACCGCTGAGCCTGATAGGAATGTGTCTCCAGCTAGCAGATACCCGCTAGCAGATAACCATGGCTCAAGGTTAGCTCTCCGTGACTCACACAATAGCAAAAGGCCCTGAGTGAGCCAAGAGCCATCTGGAGCCCAGGCATAAGGAAAAACCCAGACAAGTTGCAGACAAAGGACAAAGCCAGGCCTCAGGGTGGAAGGTGGAGGTCTTAAGGAATAAAAACAAAAATCAAGGACTACTTGTCTTGAGGACTGCGGGTGCTAGTGGCCTGGGAAGTGCCGCCTGGCAATGGAAGGCCCACGGACGTGAATCTGAAGCCCAATTTTCGGTGGGACTACAAGTGACATATTATTACAATGAACCCATATCCTTAGCTTGAAAAGAAGAGAACAGGCTGGGCGCGGTGGCTCACACCTATAATCCCAGCACTTTGGGAGGCCGAGACGGGCAGATCACGAGGTCAGGAGATCGAGACCATCCTGGCGAACACTGTGAAACCCCGTCTCTACTAAAAATACAAAAAAATTAGCCGGGGGTGGTGGCGGGCGCCTGTAGTCCCAGCTACTCGGGAGGCTGAGGCAGGAGAATGGCAAGAACCCCGCGGGCGGAGCTTGCAGTGAGCGGAGATCGCGCCACTGCACTCCAGCCTGGGCAAAGCAACAGAGCGAGACTCTGTCTCGAAAAAAAAAAAAAAAAGAAAAAAGAAAAAAAAAGAAAAGAGGAGAATAAACTTGCAGAGTTTAATGAGTATCATACAAGAAAGCATATTGCAACACTAACTACTTAAGATGAGAACATGAAATGGGAGTGTAATTTTCCTACACCTGATAATTAACAAAATGAGTAAAACTTTTAAAAGAAAAAAAAAAAAATTCACCAATGCAGCCAAACAAGAAAACAAATCTAATCAAAGATATATTAACTTCAAAACCAGAGGCAAGGGAAAAATGAGGGAGGCACCACGCATGGCTCATGTTCTATTCCTGGCCCAACCCTGACAAACCAAATGAATGACAAGAGCAGATCCAGAATTTTCACTCACATCCCCAAGTGTGGCAAGAGGAAGTATTTTTCCTCTTCAGTTGAGAAGTAGGAGGAAAAGCCACTGGGGAAGAGCAAAAAAAAAAAAAAAAAAACCGGTGCACCTGGACCAAAAACAATGGGCCGACTCCCATGGAAGGAAATAAGGGCTCCCAGGCCACATTCTGAATTGAGGACATGATCCAATTCCAAATTCCAGTTAGTATTCCTTCTCTCTCTCTCTCTTTTTTTTTTTTTGAGATGAGTCTTGCTCTGTTGCCCAGGCCGGAGTGCAGTAGCACGATCTCGGCTCACTGCAACCTCTGCCTCCCAGATTCAGGTGATTTGTCCTGCCTCGGCCTCCTGAGTAGCTGGAATTACATGCATGTACCACCACACCCAGTTAATTTCTGTATTTTTAGTAGAGACGGGGTTTCACCATGTTAGCTAAGCTGGTCTCAAACTCCTGACCTCAGGTGCTGCACCTGTCTCGGCCTCCCAAAGTGCTGGGATTACAGGCGTAAACCACCATGCCCGGCCAAGTGTATCTTCTCTTCTAACACAAAAGAATACCACTCTCAAGGAAGTGAGCTGAGCCGCACTGCAGGAACTACACCCCTGAATAGAGGACAGACCCACCTCACCACACAGTTAGCATTCCTTCAGGCTACAGAAAACAGGTCATAAATACCTAGCCCTTAGCACTCCTGGAGCTGAGAGGAGGGGACAAACCTGGAGAGGAAAGTTGCTTTCTTATTTTAGAGCCAACAGAACATGTGAGCAGAACTGCAGTCACATGAGGAAGAGGTAAAGAAACAGCAGGCAGAGCAAGCCACAGACAGGTAAACCACAACTCCAGAGAAAGCCGTTCCTCACCACTGCTCCACGCCAAGGAATAACCTCATTAGAACATCAATTCCACGAGACGAGAGCTCAAAGATGAGATTATAACCAACATGAGACCAGAAGAGGATGCAGGCTTACTAAAAAAGAGGAATAAAACCTCACTGAAGAACTAATACATTATGACAAATACAGAACAAAATTCTGCCAGTCATTTAATCCATTTATGCCTGAGGTTGCAATTTTTTGAATTTTTGCAATCAGACCTTGGTGATGACCTTGAGCAGGATATAAATTAACTCCCATATGCTTGCTGTTCAAAACATGGGAACACTAGGCATAAATGGCTCAAGGAAAGTTTGAGATAATCACAGTAAATGCAGATGGACAAGACAAATTAAAGCAAAAACAGAAGACAAAGAGACGAACGAAAGGATAACTCGTGTTCTCAGAGAGGGGAACCCAAGAATGAAATGGAAGATGTGTTCTAAGATAAGACACAAGATTTTCCTGGTTGGGCGCAGTGGCTCACTTGAGGTCAGGAGTTCGAGACCAGCCTGGTCAATATGGTGAAATCCCAACTCCACTAAAAATATAAAAATTAGTCAGGTATGGTGGCTCACATCTGTAGTCCCAGCTACCTGGGAGGCTGAGGCAGAGAACTGCTTGAACCCGGGAGGCGAAGGTTGCAGTGAGCAGAGATTGTGCCACTGCACCCCAGCCTGGGCAACAGAGAAAGACTCCATCTCAAAACAACAACTGGCCGGGCCCGGTGGCTCAAGCCTGTAATCCCAGCACTTTGGGAGGCCGAGGCGGGCGGATCACGAGGTCAGGAAATCAAGACCATCCTGGCTAACACGGTGAAACCCCGTCTGTACTAAAAAGTACAAAAAACTAGCCGGGCGAGGTGGCGGGCGCCTGTAGTACCAGCTACTCGGGAGGCTGAGGCAGGAGAATGGCGTAAACCCGGGAGGCAGAGCTTGCAGTGAGCTGAGATCCGGCCACTGCACTCCAGCCTGAGAGACAGAGCGAGACTCCGTCTCAACAACAACAAAAAAACAAAAAACAAAAAACAACAACAACAACAAAACAAGATTTTCCTGAAATTAGAGGAAAAACAGAATCTGAAGACTGAAATAATGCACTGTATTCCGCCAATGTTCAATATTGAAACATTACAGTGTTTTTTAGGCATCTAGAAGAAACTCTTTTTCCCCCCAGAAAGGGTTACTATAAAAATTGAGGCTGGGCACAGTGGTTCACACCTGTAATCCCCGCATTTTGGGAGGCCGAGGGAAGCAGATAACATGGTCAGGAGATGAAGACCATCCTGGCCAACATGGTGAAACCCATCTCTATTAAAAAAAAAACAAAAAACAAAAAACTAGCCAGGTGTGGTGGCGTACACCTGTAGTCCCAGCTACTCAGGAGGCTGAGGCAGGGGAATCACTTGAACCTGGGAGGCAAAGGTTGCAGTGAGCCAAGATCGCGTTACTGACTCCAGGCTGGCGACAGAGCGAAACTGTCTCAAAAAAAAAAAAAGAAAAAAAAAAAGAAAATTGAGAAACATACTAAAACTTCTTTTAAACAGGAAAAAATCCAACTGCCTTCTTCTTTCCCATAGCACCATTCAGTGTCAGACGAGAATGCAAGAATGCCAGAAAGTCTCCACAATTCGGAGCGAAAGAAACTATGAGCCAAGAATATTATCCCCAGCCAACACATCGCACAATTAGGTAAAAACAATAGGCAGAAATTCTTGGGCATAAAAGAACTCAGAAAATATAGTCCCCTTCCTGGGGGGAAATATGACTTAACAATGAAATGCATGTAATTAATACAGAAATGGAAATACGGAGAGCTCAGGAATGCAGAAAGCATGGTAACAGGACTGATGGTGAGCATTAATACCCTTCCGATAAGAAATAATAAAATATCATTACAGGGCTGCGCATGGTGGTTCACACCTGTAATCCCAGCACTTTTGGGAGGCTGAGGCGGGTGGATCATGAGGTCAAGAGATAGAGACAATCCTGACCAACATGGTGAAACCCCGTTTCTACTAAAACTACAAAAATTAGCTGGGCATGGTGGTGCACACCTGTAGTCCCAGCTGCTCGGGAGGCTGAGGCAGGAAAATCGCTTGAACCCGGGAGATGGAGGTTGCAGTGAGCCGAGATCGCGCCACTACACTTCAGCCTGGCGACAGAGCGAGACTCTGTCTCAAAAAACAAACAAACAAACAAACAAAAACCCTTCAGGTAAGAAATAATAAAAAATCATTACAGGGCTGGGGGTGGTGGCCCACGTCTGTAATCCCAGCACTATGGGAGGCCAAGTCAGGTAGACTGCTTGAGCTCAGGAGTTCAAGACCAGCCTAGGCAACATGGTGAAACCCTGTCCCTACAAAAAATGCAAAAATTAGCCAGGCGTGGTGATGCACGCCTGTAATCCCAGCTACTAAGGAGCCCTGAGGTGGGAGGTCTGCTTGAGCCCAGGAGTGTAAGGCTGCAATGAACTATGACTGTGCCACTACACTCTAGCCTGGGCGACAGAGAAAAGATCTTGTCTCAAAAAATCATCAAAATAACATAAATCAATTAAAAAAAATACATTGGGCTACAGAAACTGCCAAATGTTTTACAAATGCTTGATTAATACACCCTGGATATTCATGGTCAAACTAACAATGATACACTCATCTGTGTAAGTCCCAGTTTACGAAATCAGAAAACCAATCATCTGCCAGCTTGGCCATCAAGTGAATACTGCCCTACAGGCTTCTCTGGGGGTAGAAAGAGCTTTGAGAAAAACCATCCAGCCCATGGCCCTCTCCACTCACCCAAGGAACATCATGTGAGAAGCCACTCTCCCCTCAGACAAGCTGACCTAGGCTGACACCTTCACTCAAGCAAATAGCAAATCTCACAGTTGGAAACCAACCCTGGTTTGGCCCTGCCCAGGGGGTAATTGGCCCATTCTCCCCCTGCTTCCTCTTGCCCTCCCACCTACTACTCTCCTCCATACCCTAAAAGGATGCATTCTCCTCTTCCAGCTCCTGCTCCCAGGACCTTCGCCTCAAGCCTTGGCACAGTCGAAGCCCACCCAGGGTGGGAAATTTCCAGACAGTGCAGGAGGGCAGCCAGCAGAGCCCACTCACTCTCCTTGTGAAACCTCGCGCTGCTGGGAGGGGCAGGATGGGAAAACTAAGAAAAATAATAATAAAAACTCTGGTGACCCAGAAGCAGGGAACAAAATTAGAACGTTGAGCCTGCTGTTCACCAACTAATATTTACTGAGCCCCCATTGTGTGTGCCAGCGCCTGTGGGAGGAGGTTATGAAGCAGAGACGGGTGGTCAGGGCCCCAGGCAGCCGGCACAGACAAACAGGGAATGGCTTATTTAGCCCCACGCTGAGCATGGAGTGAGTGTAATGACAGCCAGGCCCAGGCGCTGGAGCCAGGAGGAGGGAGGGAGGGAACACATTGGCCAGGCTTGCTCCAGCCCAGCTGGAGCTGGAGCAAAGGGGACTTCCCAAAGCAACTGAGTCAGATGGGCAGGGACCCGGGAAGAGCCCAGAGTGGCCAGCCGGTGTTTTCCCCACCCAAGGTCAGGGTCAGAGTCACCTCACTTCTCATCATTCACCCAACACTTCCCAGACAGTTGCAAAATTCTCCCTGTCGTCCAAGTTCACTCCCGTTTGTCAGACCATGGGGCCAGGCATGTGGCTTAGGAAACGTGGTACTCACATCCATCACTTATGTCACCCCCATGAAGCAGAACTTCCCGGCTTGTTATTCAGGATCAGATAAATAAATGGAAAGTATGATCTAGTGGCCAAATCACTGGACGACACGACGTGCCACACGCCCTGGGTTCAACTTTGGGGCCTGCCAGGAACTTCCCAAGTGTGTCCGGCACAATTAAACTGTGAAAGCACCGAGCTCACAGAAGCACTCTGATCAAGACAGAGCTTAAAGGCTGCTTGGCACAGCACTGAGGCCAGCGCCTTCCTAGTCCCCTATCTTCTAGGTTCTTAGGACAACCCCTTTACTTAGTCCTGAATTCTGCTTCTGTTCAATTACTTCCCTATCGAGGAAGTTGTCTTGGATCACTTTTCCAGCACTTTTCTCTGGCTATTATGGACTCCTCATTACCTTGTCTCCCAGGGAGCCTCCCCAGCTAGATTTGTATTCTTTGAAGATAACTTCCTGAAACGTATCCTTCCCTCCCGTTTCTTCTATGTCCTCCTCTCCTCCCTACCTGCAGCACAGTGCCTGGGACAGTGCTGGGCACATAATGGGCTAAAGGCAGAGAAGTTTTGCCTCCCTTCTAACTGAAGTCTGCCTGCATCGCCCCTGCAGCCTGATAAAGAATAGGGAGCTCTGGATGGGCGC